CTTGCCTACCCTACTGTTTAATCAACACCCACGCTGTGGTTTATCAAAGGCGATCTTTTCCATGTCGTGTAGATTCTTCGGGTGCGCGCATTTTCGAATTAGGACGTTCGTTTGACTATTGTATTTAGAAAAGGTGAGTGAAAGAGGCTTCCTAACTCCCCTTAGCCACGCCCCTTGGTCCAGTCGAATCAATCAACATGGCAACAATGGAGTTGCAAGAAAATGACATCTCTAATACCCAGCTGTTTTCGGCGAAATAACTTTTTGTTACGTTTTGCAGGTGGCTTATTGTACTTCAATATAAGCTTCTTGGAAGAGAGGAATTATATACAAAAGTTTAAAGAGTTGGAAGAAGCTGGACGATGGAGACTTTTAAACAAGGAAAAGATTCCTTTTCTACTGGAGAAGCAATTAGAGGAGTGCTATTTATACATTTATAAACGCCAGTAAATAAGTTCTCTATTGATATCCTGCGTAGCAAGGGAATCAATAGGGTATCAGTTGGGTATTTAGCTTAAATGGAGGCCTGCGTTTTACCATAATCTACCATATTTAGCAATCCTTGTTCTTATCGCTTTATTTCCACCTTGTTGGTGTTTTTCTAGCCTGGAAAACGGTTACCTTAATTCTAACTCCTGCTTGATTAATTTTTTTTTTTAATATTTCTATCGATAGCTTATTACTCATCACCTAATTGCTCTCAATCAAAAACATACAGAGTTTAATCGAAGATTACAGTAAAAAAATTCACTGGTACAACTCGATAATCTACCACATCTTTGTTTTACGCATCTTACGCTCGTCAATAACGATTCCATCTCTAAAACGCGACAAATTGGAACGCTGCACATGTTTCACTATTTTACATTCATAAAAATTGTGTCTAATTCGACTGAGAAATGTGACTGAAATAAACGCCATTTTTGACTTAATGCGTTATCGGAATAGCTTTACACATTCTTGTAATTTGTTTTAGTAGACTATACAAATATCATCCAATAACATCCCGCGAAAGCAGGTTAATGGTCATGGACACCAAATGACAAAAGGAAGGAAGGGTGAGGCAACCACATGCAGTGTAGGCCCACCCTTCAGAAATAATTTGAATACAAATGATCTTTTAAAATGAAATCATGTCATCTGTTCCTTTGATTTACTCTTCCTCGTTGGAAAATTATTCAATTAATTTTCCGATAAATTTTTGTTGTCATTTAAAACCAGCTTTGTTTAGAGTCAGCCTGGTTTAGAGTCGTATCATTTCTAGGTGAGGTGATAAAAAAATCGGGCACCTGGAAATTAAAATTATGAGTGAGGATGCATTTTTTAAAAAAAGTTCCGAGCTATGCTGAAAAAGTAGAAAGGGTCAAATCTCGTTCAATAGTAAATACCTTTCCGTGCTTTGAAAATGAATTCTTGAAACAATTTAGCCATATTTATTTACGGCAATACAAGTTCATTTTATTCGGTTTCAGCCTCTAGTATTCAGTTTCAGCCTCCAGAGTCTCAACACTACACGACAAGGTTTCAATATTTTCACTGAATTAAGCAAACTGGTCTTATTCAAAGAAAAAGAGATCTAGAAAGGATCCTCAAAAAAGTTGATATTGAATTTGGCTTCAGCCAAAAAGAGGTGACAATATTATAATTGAATCGAGTAAAAACACCATTGCTTAAAAATAACAGGCGTATCAAATTTATAGGAGCCTAAAAAAGAACAAAACAATAGATAAAGATTTACAAGTGATTTAAATAATTCGAGAATTTTCAATGTGAGTTTGGTGTTAGCCCCAGAGATCAAGACTTTCCACATTCGGGTTCCAATTGTTTGGTTGATTAAAGCTAAATTAAGAGGTTTCTTTTTTTCAATTAAAAAAAATGAAATACTTAGTGGAAATTTAAGCTTATCGCACATATACGAAGAAATTCTGCTAACAATTTGAGTCGGAATACATTCTTGGGATTTCGTTTGTTCGTAGGACACAAGACTATTATCAGTCTTAGCTCTCTCAGCTTTTCTCGTGTTGCATATTCACCGAGGCAATCTATGTCAAAGGGGATAACCGAGCTTATTCTGACTATCAACATATTCTTGAAATTAACGAGCATTCGACCAGCTAAGCCGTTGCTATTTCAACCATAAGATGAATGATCATAACATGCACCAAAGCGCTGGGTATTTCTTTGACACCAGTGTTTTAATATCAAAGAGACAAAATTGTAGTCTGATTTATTAAAAACAACCTTAGTCTCACGACCACTGAAAACCAATTAAAACGTGATAGAGATATCTAAGGAAACAAAAATAAAAGAAATATGACTGTTTTTCTTCGTTTGTAGGTTTTCTTCTGCTGTCTTACATTTGAAAGTTGCAGACGTTCGTTTAATCAAGGTGTAATCGTTTAATGCAGACCAACCCAACGTAATTGGCAGATCGTTAACTGTGAATGAGGGAAACAAAATATGTTATTTTTTTCAATTCGAATGAGTTCATGAATCCTTTATAACACAGAACAGGGATTGCCGGGCTCACTCTGATTAATACAACTTTAAAAAAAAATTTAAGAATGAACTAAATTTCTAACCTTGTTGGAAGTTATTCTGTTGTGCTGTCTTCCTCTGATAAGTGACATTGTAACAAATATTGCAAAACCAACCTTTTTAGATGTTAACCTTTTTCTTTCCTTCAATTTAACTGTTTATTTTCATCCTGCGCTTGCTACTGTCCTACAAAGAAGAAAAATGAGGAATTTGCAAAAATTACATGCATAGAGCCTGTTTTTTCGGTTGAGAACTATTTGTAATCGAAAGAAAAAGGAAAAACTAGGTTGAATCCCTCATTTCTAACAGTGATAGTCTTGTTTAACCTTTTAACCCCTAAGAGTGACCAGCATCTAATTTCTCCTTACAAGATCACCCCTGAATTACACATTAAAGTCATGAGAATAAGGAAAATGATCAACAGCCTGAGAAGCTCTTGATTGTTTAACAAATTCTCCTTGTCAACACCTTGGGAAATGAATAGAATACAGTATAGAGAATATGCAAACTGATGTTAGGGTGTAAAGGGATTAATGAAGGAAGATAGATAGCGTTCTTCGAAATACTGTCAGATAAGGTGCAGGTCTGATACTGTGATCCATCCTCATACATCCTCAAACCTTTCCACCCTAATATCAGTGTGCATATTCTCCATACTGTTCCCTATACAATCCCTAAGGAGCTGATTAGGAGAATTTGTTTGAGCTTCTCTAGTAAGTGACCATTTCCTGTATTCTCATAACCTTAATGTGCGATCCAGGGGTGATATTGTAAGGAGAAATTAGATGCTAGTCACTCGTAGAGGTTAAAGGGTTAAGACAGGTGGAATAAAGATACGCGAGATAGAGGTCATCCCTTTGTAAGAGATGGACATGTTTAGCTGCTATGGCATAAAATTACAATGATTATTGCCACACGCCCAGAATTGGGAGACAACAAGAAGCTATACAATCCTGTCTGGAAATAGGAATAAGGCCCCCAATGTCCACTCGAGAAAAATGGCTCTAGCTTCTATAAAAGAGGCGGGCGAAATAAAAAAAGCACAATTAAACTGCAGCAAGTTAATGTTAAAACACCATCAGCATATATATTAACCCCTTGTACCCTAACATCAGTATGCAAACTCTCCAAACTATACTCTATACATTTTCGAAGACGCTGAAAAGGAGAATTTGTTGAACAATAAAGAGCGTCTTTAGTTGGTGATCAATTCCTATATTCTTGTAACCTAAATGTGTGATTCGGGGACAATTGTGTAAAGGAGAAATTAGGGGCTTATCACTCTCAGGGGTTCATAGGTTTAACTGCATACAGTATTAAAAGAAGCACACTGATAAAAATAGATATACCAGTAAATAAAACGAACGGACGATACCTCGACTATAAACTGCGAAGTTTTCGATTTTTCCTTATAAGTCCCGTGATTCAATAAAAGCTGTCATGGCGGCCACTAGTGAGGATGTGTCTCACTCTTAAAAGTGTACAAAATGTTCTTCCTTTAACATTTGACTCCGTTATTAAATTTCAAGAGCACTTAAACTGTGTTTCTTTACATTAAGGAATTTATTCGTTGGTAACTTACCGCGAGGAGTTTCGTGATAAAACGACATCCATAAATCCACGAGGTCGAATTTAAACCACTGCCTTGCTTCGCCAACTTCAAAGAAACGCAAGTCTGCCTTGAATGAACTGACGGAATTCAAGGTACTAACGTTGAACTGACTTGTTTCTTGCCCCAAAATAGCTGCAAAAGACGCTGAAATTTCTTGTAGTTCGCAAGCTTTTACCACGTGCAAGACTGGTCGCAAACATGAATATTAATTTCTTAAATAATCATTTGTATTCAAATGATTTTTCCCACCCGGAAAGGAGGGCCGGCACTGAGTGTGGTTATTTTACCCTTTCTTCTGTCGTTTGGTGTCCGTGACCATTAAACCTGCTCTCACGGAATATTATTCAATGATGTTTGTACAGTGTACTAAAACAGATTACAAAAATGTGTAAAGCTATTCCGTTAACGCATTAAATCAAAATGGCGTTTATTTCAGTCACATTTCTCATTTGAATCAGACAACAATTTCGATGAATATAAAATGGCGAAACTTGTGTAGCGTTCCAATGTGTCGCATTTTAGTGATGGAATCGTTCGAAATTTTTTTTTAACTGAGCTAGTGAGCAGCACTCAGCGAACAGTAGTTGTAAAACCTCTTCATTCTTCGACGCGTTTCGTCTAACTGTCATAGACTTCTTCAGGGAGTTTTACAAGTTTAAAGTAAACACCTTTATTTATAAGCCATAGTTAGCGGCTATACAGGGGCTAGTGACTATTGGCTTGGCTTAACATACGAACAGCACTAGGCGAAGTAGTGAAAAATTTGAAAATTTTTTTGTAGGCAAGGAGTGAAAAATATTTTGGGGGCCACGGCACTACCAGTTCCCTGTCTGATCATAATCGCCACATGTTTCCTAATCATATTATTCTGCCCATTCATCGTAAAGTCGGATGACTTCGTTGAGTGAAGATTCATTTGTAAATAGCCGGAGTTGATCATGCATGATAGTACTTGAAAATATAAAGATATGATGAGGACAATTTGAATGAGGTAGGCTGCAAGAGTTATCTCTTTCGCCCCATCGGGTGTCATCGTATTTTTCTTCAATAGCTGATCTAGTTGTAACGTATTTACAAAAGCTGTAAACAAGTAAAGTTAGTGTACTGGCTAGAATGACCGTAGGGGCTTACAAAGCCCCCTCTAGGTTTCTGAAAGTGCTGTCCTCCTCAAAGTGATTAAACATATGTTGGTCGTCATGGAAAGCCTTCTCAATCCTTACTAACATGATACGATTCACATAATGCCATGCTACATAGGTAAGGACAGCTAACGAGATTTCGCGCGCGCGGAATTCAAACACCAGGTCTCCCAATTTGAATACGCGCGGAGCGGCCATGGGAGCAACTCCAAAAGCCGGCTGAAGCAGCCGAGGGACTTTCTCTCTCAGATTGCGGAAAATCTCCCTCTCTCTAAAGGGAATGTGAGGGAGTGGGGCTTTGCCATCACAGTTTTACGGTGAAACTGAAATGCCATGTATTCTTCGGTGCCATTTGTATTATACTTCATACCATGGTGAAATACACATGGCCAATTGTGCCAGTCTACTTGTTTAGTGTTAGAAGGTTAAGAACCGAAAGATTCACAAAAACAGTCGAAAGGGAACACGGTCACCTCTCAAACGAAAAAAAAAAAAAAGGAAGATTTACTTTCTATAGGTAGTTGGGAAAAATTATCGCCTGTTTTTCCATATTTCCCAGTCAAGGCCAGTCGAGGTTTTCCGCTCGATTTTATACATTTACCGGACTACTCGGAGAGCAACTGGATCATGAAATGATTCAGTTTCTACATCCTCGGATCTCATGGTCAAGTAAACGTGTAGCTTAGTTTTTGCATTATTAAAGATCTACAGCTAGTTGTGGCTATCGTTAAGTGCCAACGAGACAAGTCAAGGCTTTGACTATTTGGCACGATGGCCGGTAGATCCAGAGGAGGCCTAAGCTCCAGCTGTGAGAAGACCATCTTGCGAAATACGAGTCATGGCGAAATTATTAGAGTTTGTATTGGAATATTTACGATCGCTCTCAGGAATAAAAAAAAAACAGTAAAGTTCTCATTAAAAATACCTCACCTTACTTTCACAGTACATTGCTCGTTATCTGACCGCTTATTATGTTGAAAAGAACCCTTTTAGCGAGTTATCCAGTCAAACTTGTATTTCAAGACAGGTTAAACTGTAAAAGCGGTCACGTGCGCCCATGGGGAACAGCGAGGTGACCGATACAGTTCGATCGTTCCACAGAAGGTATCATGCCATAATTGACCACTTGCTCAAAACACTACTTACATTGATTTCGGGAGATGAACAAGGATTGAATTTCACTCGAAAGATTATTCCTAGTTTTATTCGAGTAGTTCCGCTTTAATGACCGTTCAATACAGGTGGAGAACAATACAAACAGGCCGTTGGGATTCAGTCAAGGATGACCATGACCGCTTAATGGAAGTGAAAATTATAGTAATTAGAGGGCAAGAATCTTGAGAATTTGAAAACCGACTGCTTAATATAAGTTCGAAAGAACGAAATTTGAACGCCTGAACATGTAACTGAGACTTTGAAAGGGCAACAAAGAGGGTAGCGAGGTTACGTCCTATTTCAGCCGGGCAAACATCATCATTAAGTGATATCCATTAGTGTTCACAAGCTCATTTTATCTTTCGTGACAGAAACATTACCACTGCCATTACTTGATAGCAAGGGTTTACCAGCCAAGAGCATGTCGAATACTTTGCGTTCAGTTGGGACTTTGCTATAACGATCGCGAAGAGAGGAGAAATGTCAGCAGATGACACCAAATCTAGCAAAGTAAAAATCTTCCTCTCGGTAAAAAATGGACAATCCTAGTTGAAGTCACCGAAAATTCAATAAAATGTACCCACAGTTGTGGTTGTTACCCACAATGTAGTATTAATCCTATTCTTCTCTGTGACGGACGAAAATCTTGCCAACTGCCAAAAAAAGTTTCAATTGTTTCCTTATATTGTTATTCTAAACAATTCTGTTTTGTTTGTGGAAGAAACAATTTTCAGCAAAAAGAAACAGCCGCAAAAATAAAAATTCGTGGTCGGTCCCTCATATTATCTTGAGAAACAACCTGCGGGTTTTTTTTATTTTTCAAGACCGGATCTTGTGTTTTAGTTATCAGTAAGCTACCCTGTTGTAAAATCCTAATTAACTTCTTAAAAATTACACTCTCGTGATACTCAGGGTCAGAACACCCGCGAGACAGGTGTACTCGCTACGTGGATTGGCCATGGCCTTTTTGATAGGTGAATAACTTGACCTGGTGTCGATAAGCTCTTAAAGTTAACGCTAATGTATATATAATTATCAGCTCGAGGGCGAATTAGGATTTTCATTTAAGACAACCAAAAAGAAGAAATATGAAAGAAGAGAAAATAACGAAAATTGCATTTTTGCTTATTGTGGCGCAGATTTCTTTAGCCATGGAATTCGAAACATTCAAAGCGTTCTCTAACCACGGAAAAGGAAAAAGCAGGTACAGTGTGTAAAATTCTTGTTTTTCTTGATTTAACGCAAATTTCTCCTTCGTCTTTTAACGTTTTCGAGCATTTCTGTCTTTTTTTTTATATTCTTTTCCTGCTCCTATACTACCTTCTAACTTATTTCCGACCTTAAATCACAGAGATAACGGCAGGGCTGTCAACTGTTGTCCAATTATTGGTAAGTGAGTAAGGAAACTTTTTAAAAAATTATAGTATGCCAATAAAAGTGTTGTCGTCATATGAAACGGTCTATCATTATTACTGTAGTTTCGCTGTCTTGCCAAGACAGAAGTAAGAACTGCGATTTGGCCTTATGAATTAATGAATAAAACGCCTCTGAAAGACACTCTTATCAATATTTTGCGCGATGTTTTCTTAGGAAAAATAGAAATAAACAGCGAGCACTGTCTAATAAAGGTAAATATAAGCTCGAACATAACGATCGATTACGCCACGATTGCAGATTTTCAAAAGGACAATGATCATGAGAGTTCGTTTAATTATTATTGTTTCCTTTTTCTGCCTCTTTGAAGGTGTGCTCGCTCAAGATACGGATGGAAATGTGACGAAATTCGGAAGTCAATTAATTGCAGCCACGTACGTCAAGTTTATCGAGTCTGCAGGAGGGAGAATGGTGCCTATTTTGTATCCTTTGTAAATCTGACCCTTTTGCAGTCATGTATCGGTTAATCCTCTTAAAGATGTTAAATAAATTTAAATATAAAACAAGTATTGTAAGGTAGGATGAAGAAAAGGCAATTCTAGATCTATGAATATTTACGCCTTTCTGATGGGACCCATGGCGACCTAACAGATAACGCACTACACTCTGGGTTCAAGGCCTGGCTGGTTCACTGTTTTGTTTTCTTCGTTAAGACACTTTACTATCCCAGTGTCTCTCTCCACCCGGGAGTATACATGGGTACCGGCTAATTATCAGGGTAACCTGATTGTAACCGAGGTCACGCATGGAATCCAGAGATCCTACCGAACACAAAGGAAGGAACTGAGCTGCTGAAAGCAATACGATGAATTCTCCTGACAGACTCTTTATACGATAAGCTCCGAACTGTGTTTTTTTAGGATTATTTCAGATATAATAGTTATTCAAGGACGTTTTCATAAGTTTCCCTTAGATTTCTTCTTTCTTACAGGCAGGCCTGTTTGGCCAAGTGCATTTCGAGGCCGGTATATAATAGCGAAACTTATTGTCATAACGTTTCCCGTGTGTATTGTGTTTACGTGTTCATAACCTGTCAGTGTTTTTACGATTCATCACTTGTATGGTACTCTTGTGGTTAATGTTTGTACCATTGTGTAATGTTACGCAATTATGTCGAGTAATTTGGGAGGTTTTTTGCATAAATTTAGCCCTGTGGATCAATGTTCACATCCACTTTTGAGGAAGCAGCGTCGTCGTTTTCGTTTTTCACCTGTAAAGCTACGCACAGTTAAGGTAAATATTTTTTTTCTTGAGTGTTCAATTGTAAGATTTATTCTCTAATGTGTATTTTCCTACTCATGTTTAGTACTGTAATTATTTTCATCATTATTTTATTTAGAAAAACGTCCATACGCTACGGTACTAAACATGAATACGAAAATATACAGATGGATGTGAGCTCCACTCAGATAGATAAACCATTCTATATGATTGCATTAAATTTATAAAAATTCTTTATAAAATTCCCAGCGATTTGTTGTAAATGTGTGATTCTTAACCCTCAAATCAACATTCTGCAGCATTAACTCCACTGCCGAAGAAATTGAAAAGTTGTTTTATTCAATTAATGGGTAAGTAGAACGATGGGCAAAGCCGACCTCAAAAGATGGACCCGGCAAAACTCTACTTTTAAGGTATTCTTTACAGTTATACTAGAAAAAACCGGAAACGTGGTATGGTGTAAAGGTTGATTAAGACTATCATTTGTCGCAATGTTCGCTCACGCTTGTTTCAGGGGCGTAGGCGAAATTAAGAGAAGCACAATATGCACCCGCGATATAAGTCATTTCATGTGAGGCACGTGGAAATTCATACCTGGGATACCCCCCTTTGAAAAACCCTCGCTATAAAACTGTAGTGCCCCATCCGCACCCCCTTCCCCCTCCCCCCCTTCCCCCTCCCCCCCTTGCCACCGGACCACCTCTCATCATATATTTCAATTTTCTTGATTATCAACGTATTTTAGATTTGCTTTCTTTTCCCTTTTTTATGACTTTTACGTATTTTAGTGCCATATATCCCGGAGGTCATAGCTACTTAGAACGCTCAAACTACACACGAGTAGGGAAACAGATATTAGAGCTGGCAATGAAGGTAAAATTTCAAAACCAAATGAATTAACTTCCACGGTAATTTAATATCATCAACTGAGTTGATAACGTAAATTGGCCACCGTAAAGAGTTTAAAACCTTTTAAACTCTTTACGCAGTTGATAATGCTAAATTACCCTGTTATACTCTCCCACTGACGCAGCAGCAAAGTTTCTTCAGAAACTTACCCCCTTATTCAATATACTTCCACAATTGCTTTCAGTAAGTTATCTCGCGCTGAAGTATGTCACTTGTAGATCAGTTTAGGTACCC